CTTCTCCCTGCCGGTGAATTAGCATGAGGGGGAAACTCAAGTGGGTAATGGAATTCCGTGTGCCATCGCTCCATTACAAAATAAGAGCCTGATTGGTTGTCAATCCGATCTCCAGGGGATGGAGACGGAAGTGTGGATACGTGTGTTAGCAGGAGAGGGTATCTGGAGCACCCTTTGGGGGAAGTTTTATGAAGACTATTATCACCAAGAAAAGGGATTTTATTTGGATCTTAAACACAACTATAACATTTTGACTGCTGATGGGATTTTCAGAGGGAAATTTAAAGCGCTTTAACACCTTTCAAAGTGAACTTCATTTGAATAATCTCTGTTCAACTTGAAATGCTCAAAGCAACCGAGTAATAAACAAGACACTACAATGAGGAAAAGGGTAGAGTTCAAACAAAAGCAGCTCTGTTTCGAAGAGCTTAAATGTCATGTTATTCATTAACTAGCAAGCCGCGTTTTCATTAGAATGACTTTCAGTGCTGGAATAAGTACGATTTTATACTTGAGAGAAGTAGCTAAAATATTCTGTTAATAGTAAAAGTCCAATTTCCAACTTCCTTAACACAAATAACAATGACTGTTACATTTGAAGGGCACATGGTAGTCAGTACTATACTACTAATCGGTAGTTAAAGTATCTACAGTATAATGGAATATACGTAGGGGTATAAATTAGCAGAAAATGGTAAGTAAGTACCTCAAATGTATTCCTAAATAAAGTACTTTGAAGCTGTACTTTCAGCTCTGCCTCACTTGCAACTTGTCACCTACAACGTCTTTCAGAGGAGTGAGTTTGTCTGGGGTCACTGCAAACGGTACCACTCTACTGAAGTGTTCAAACAATGTCAGAGAGAGAAGATAGGGTCTTTCTGGAGGCGGAGGCCCCTAGTGTTGTTTCATGTAATCAAACATAGACCGGGACTTTGGATTTTTCAACACACTGGTGGATAAAATGGATGATACGCAAGTCACAAGGTTGTGTCTTCAAAGAAATTACAGGCTTCTGATCAGTTTCTCCTGAAAACACTGTCAGTCATGACAAATCAACCTTAAAGAGAACATATTATGCTCCTTTACTGGTCCATATTGTTATTGCCTTCCTCTACTGGGACATGTTTACATATACTTTAATGTAAAAGTGCTTTCGTTTTCAACTGTTTCTCATAGGAGGGCTAGCTGGCCAACTGTGTTGTGATTGGTCATCTGCTTAGAGATGTCCCAACCCTTAGCCTATCACGTACCAGTGTTGGAGTGCTAGCCAATAGAAGTAGAGTATAACATACTGATGTCAAACCCCAACATTCCTAAAAGAGCCTCTTTGATAAAATTCACTATCGTTAGTGTCTTAAAAAAAGAAAAGAAAAGTTTTTCATGATGCTGTCGAGATGAGATTCTTAAGGATTTCTCTCTGTGTGTAATTGTGTGTTTGTGTGTGTCTTGGGTAATCTTCACCTGCAGTCATCTGCAGTCCCTAGTGAGAGAGTCTGTGAATCACCACCGGCACATCTAGCTCACGGCTTAAGAGTCTTTCTGTCATGGATTTAAGCTCACACACACACACACACACACACACACACACACACACACACACACACACACACACACACAAATCACTGTTCTATTGCAACAACCCCTTTTAATTTATCTTCAAGTCACCTGTGATACAAACATCTTTGATATTCGTTCTCCACGCAGCTTTAGGTTGTTATTTTAGCATTACATTCAGATTTTCTTTCACTATATGCAACATGAAACACAAGCAATGTCCCCGTCCTTTCTTTGTACGCTCCGCATTAAAACTGAGGAGAAACGCAATGAGTTCCGAGATAAAATAGCAGCGAAATGTCACGCTCACCTCCGCAAATTACCCCAAATTACCCCTCGGATTTCTAACCAAGCACGCAGTTGTTCTTTTGCAGTTAAAATGTAAACACTACAATCAGCATTTTAATTCATGATTGCCAAACAAGCCGTGAGCTAATCACGGGGAGGAGGGAAAGAAGATAATGAAGAAAGCAACACAAAAAAATAGAGGCTGAATAAGAAGGGAGGCAGTGATTAGGTCTTGCCTCTTAATGTGTTGCTTCGTGTTTAAGAAAATGCTTTCTACGGTCTTTTTTTATCTGTCAGAATACACTCTAAGCATGAGATACTCAAGACTAAGTCAAGGTCAGTGAAAGACATTCATAATCACCCTTTGAAATGTTATAAAAAAGGCCAGAATGCAACTTATAAATTAGTATAAAGCTTCCTTTGTGTTGTCTCTAAGAGGCCATTTACTCAACTATCAAAATACTATAGTTTTCCTATATCTAGACTTTAATGTGGCAATGTTCAAGTAGTAACCTAATAATTACAAAGGCTAAGGTAATGGCCCTGAGCCTGATGAGACCTTTGGGTAGACATATATCCAGAATGGACAGGCGTAACGCTTTTAACCTTTTCTCCCAGATTCATTACGAAACGAGAAACCCTGACAGCAAAGACCTGACGCCTGTCGTTAGGAGTTATTATCTGATGACATTTCAGCGACGCCTGGGACATCTGCTCATTTTATAACACTCTAGAAAGTTGTACACATACAAAGTTGTTTTATCTTAGAATACAATACTGTGTTAAACTTCCAAGAGATTCAATATACCCACGTCCACGGAACTGGAGAGGCGTATTCTCACACGAGGAAAATGATAATAAAAAATATTGGAAGTTAGGTCAAGCAGTGGTTCATTTTCCTTGAGATGTAACCAAATCCAACAGTCTCACGGCTAAATGTTCACTCAAGGTCTAATACATATTTACTGTTCACCTGTGGCAATTTTCTTCATTTGCTTCCAGTTTGATAGTGGGGTAATTGTGGGAAAAATGGAGCCTCAGAGTTTCCTGATTTTTGCCAACTATTCTACAGTTTAAGGGTACAATAACTGTTAATAATAAATGAAACTCACTTTTTTTGTACACCCTTGGCTCCTAATAAATCATTTGAAATATTAGCAGTGCTTTGTTAACCAAAGAAAACCCCCACTGTGTTCAGAACATGCTGTTACTCTGAATGAATTGGCAAAAACTCCAGTTGCTTTTTTCTAATAATAATTTCCTTAACGCCATGAGACCGGAGGAATGAAGACATTCCTACGACTTGCAGCCAAATTATAAAATATACCCTGCTTGGCTAGCTGTGCCGGGATATCTTAAAAAAAGCTTGAATTAAAAATACCTTTTCCTTCCTTTAGGAGTTCCTGCAATTACTCACTCGGTCTGAGACGCAGAGGGGCGTTTCCCACATTGCTACATCTTCATCATTTTCTATCCAACACCCTCTATCACCTATGCACACACACACACTTTATCTCTCTATAGTGTAAAGGCAGCTCCAAACTGCTTGTTGTTGGCCCTCATCTTTGCAGAGCAGATGGCTGCTTTCTGCACCACATGGCCAGCACTCAGGAGATGAGGGGAGCTCTTTAACAAGAAAAGTACTTTCAATCTGCTTTAGCAACTGTAGCTCCTCCTCATCATCACATCTTTTTTTCGCATGGCGTCAGCAGCAACTCTTATCCCACCCCCCCATACTACCCCCAGCCACCGCTGCCTCTTCATCCCCCCCAACGGCACTGATTTGCCCGCTCTGCATTCATCTAGCTACTGTTGATGATTATTTAAATACTTAATGCTTATGTAAACAAGTCAAACACAAGGTCGCCGAGTGAGATTATTAAGATGCTGCACGGACTGGCCAAGAATTCCAACTCGAAGTCCCCCCCCCCAGTTTTCTATCATGTTTCTCCAACATGTGGGAACACGCTGCATATGTATGGAGAGCCGCATTCATTATTCATGCTGGGAGTCAGTTCGAATGTGGTGAAGAAGAAGGGTTTTTTTTCTAGGAGAGGATGGTGAGCAGAGGCTTATAGCAGGGGGAGTAAGTTATCACATTTTTTTTCTTTTCTATTATGGATCTGCACCGTTTGTATAATTCAGTTTGAGTATTATGGGCTCAGTCTGGCCAGAATACTGCAATACATAAACCTTGAGGAATGATTGAATGCTGGAAAGTGTGAGTGCTTCTGGATCATTCATTGTAATTTACAGGAGATAAAATGGATATAAAACTGTTGATAATTAGTTTGAGTCACATGTTGCCTGAATCTAATTGAATAAATCACCTAAGTAGAGTGATACTGTATGTTGGTAAGAGATCCAGAAATTGGTCCAACTTTTTTTCGGGGAAATGTGCAAACACTTTGAAAAACAAATGGCTGAAACTAGGGCTGAACGATTAATCGATTTTAAATCGAAATCTGAAATGATGCGATTATCAAATCGCAAAGCCTGCAATTTTTTTTAACATTTTTTTTTTTCTTGTATGTCAGTCATCCACACCAATCAGAAGTGCTGTGCTCCACATGTAGCAGCAATTGTTAACAAATCAGAAGTGGCCCATGATAGAAGGTGATAGACAGAATGATCCAATCACCTGCCAAGTATTTTTGAAAGTGCCTGCCCTTTCCAAATAAACGCATTGCATTTTACAATAAACGTCCGTTGGGTCGCTTAAAAACAAATATCGCAAATCGAATCGCAATCGCAATATTTGTCAGAAAAATCGCAATTAGATTTTTTCCCAAAATCGTGCAGCCCTAGCTGAAATGTAAGCTCCTATATACACTTGTCCGGTTTTCTATATGGCCGGAATTTGGAAATATTAACAGTCAAAGGTCTTTTGTAAACCCTGCCATAAACCGTAAATTGGTATATGGAGAACACTCCCTGTGGAAGGCTCAACTAGTTGAGCTTCACATGACAATCTAGAGGAATTTATTAAAATATGGCAACTAGTTTAGTTCAGAGTAGTCCCTTCTGTAATATGGAATCTACAATAGCGATCCCTAGTCATTTGAAAGTATTTGTGTCGGTACGGTAGTTGTGACTGTGCTCGAAGTATGTGTAAATGTTTCCAGAAACTGAAACATAATAAAAAAAGATGTACTTACGATGTGGAGCATGATGTAGTCACCCAGACGTGGGGCGCTGTCGATGCGGACGAGGATTCCGTCTTTGATGGTCGTGCTGAAGCCCACCGCCAGTCGGTCCGTCCGCGTGCTTGGCCTCTCATTGTTGGGCCACGTGTATGTGATCAGACCCCCTCCTTTACCGAAGATATAGGTGGTGCCAGCTGTATAACACAAGAAGAAAAAAAGGTCAGGAATGTAATTTATTCTAGGGCAAAGAGATACAGATACCAGGCTAAAATCCAATACAGGGAAGTACACACGTTCTGTAAAAAGCAACAAGGGAGCAGAGTGTTGTCGCCTACAAGGCACTTGTCTGACAAAATAGATCCAAACCTCCAATAAATCAGCTGTAATTCCTTTACAGCTAGTTTGCCACTGCTCCAATGCAATTGTGTCCAGTTTTATTTTAGTTTTCTAATGGTATTCAGGCACCGCCACCTTTTGGGTAGAAGTCAGCAGTTCCCCTGGCACCATCTATGACCTATCCAGCTCTTAAATATAGCCCCTTCCCAGGGAATAACAGCCAGTATGGCCAGAATTGGATAAGTCTCCCAATCCTCATGTATTATATATGAGACATGCAACCAAAGAACAAAGGCAGCAGAAGAAAGAAGAGAAGGGGTGGGAAAGGAAAAAAATCGAAGACCTTCGTCGAGCTTATTTGACAAATGCAGTTTAGAAAAAACAGGTCCACAGCCAAGAGAAACTCACTAGAATAAAGATTTTTGTTGTGACAGTCACTGAGCAGATTTGCATCATATTATAGGCTCTGATTGGAAAAAGCTTGGCCCTGAGACACGGAAAATAATGCGAAAGTCTGCGAAAGTTGTCCTTGTTCTCTCTATCATCACGTGGACGGAGATAAAAAAAAAGGGAAATGTTTCATTCTTTGGTTGCAGGGCGGGATTCAATTCTAACTTCTGAATGTTCCCCAAGGAGCATCAGAATTAAAGCGCTGAATCCTTGAGCAGCTTAGCCATCTTGTCCACATTTAGGCAAAGATAATCAAGAGATCAAAGGCAGTAGACCCACAGCAGAAAGACTGGTTGGTGAATCAATATGGGAGAGGAGACAGACTCCTGTGGCCTAGAGGTACTGGAAAGCATTTGGCCCACCTCAGAAGCTGACGAGGGTTCCTAATGAAGTCAAGGTATGAATTCATTTTTCTACACCATGCCTCTGCAATCTTTTCTTCCACATCGCCTCTCTCCCTCTGTCTCCCCTCCCTGTCATTCCTATTTTTTCATTCACTTCCTCTCTAAGTCACCTGAACATCTGTTTGGCCTTGTGATGGGTGCCCAGCTGTCTCACTGTTTCCCCCCACATAGCAGCCAACAATCTGCTCTGTGGTCCATAATACCCTGGAGACCGAAGGAACATATGGATGAGAAGGAGAGAGAAGGGAGGGAGGGAGTCTATCGACCAGAAGAGTGTATTTATTTGCCTCCGGGCACACAAACAGGTCTGCATTTTACACAGCGCAGGTGCCAGCAAATGCAATCCACCAACTAAGGTCGTCTATGTTACGGGATGAATACCTGAATAAGTGAAGCATCCCGAGCCTCAAACAACTGCCTGGCTTCTTGTAACTAATAACCCTACATGGCTGGTTTACCACGGACGCCTCCCCTTTGAGAATTCCTTTTTTTTTCTCGGAGAGGAACAATAAAATCCCTGCTCTCAATGACATTGCAGCTGATGTTTGCGTCATGTAACACCTCAAATAGCTCATTTCTTCCATGGAAAGCAAGGCGCTGAGAGAGCAGCCTGCAGCCAGGTTGCACCGGATCTAGCCCTGCTGTCTCAAAGTTTCTTCTTGCCAAAAGAGTTCAGGCAGACTTGGGATCAGCTTCCCCGGCAAACGAGAAAACTTCGCCTATCTCATCTAACACACACTCTTTTTTTCTGGAGGGGATGATGATGATGAGCAACAAAGATACAAGCACCCCGGGGAGCCAATTATCACGTTGAAGAAATTTGCTCAGTGTTTCAAGAAGACAATGTTCGGCATGAAACGCACACAGACGGCCACACGCACATCGGCAGACGCACACACACACACACGCACACCGGTGGGCTGACGAAGGCACATTGTGAAGTATATAAGTGCGCAAACACGTGTGCAGACTCAAACACTCGCTGCCTTCTCGCATAGATCACACAAGTGGGTGATTATTACAGAGTACAGAGAAGAGAGAACCCGAGAACGCCGAAATGTTGCAAGTATCCATGAAAACCTGCTAGGCCCAGACTGCACATCCTGTATTTTCACACAGCGAGGAAGTCCACTGCATATCAATTAACTCTCTCATTGTGTGAAGCAAAGTGTGGCATCATTGCCGATACTCATCTGATGTGAACGGAGAAAAACAAGTGAATGGATGGTTAGCAAGGCTTAACTCTCATGGTCTAGAGTTTCATTTGAATAAGTTCACTTGAGACAAAAGGGCTTTTCCATGCAAGGGAGATTTTTCCACTCTTAGTGGAAGTTGAAAATAATTGGATGAAAGTGGATAAGCATTGGAATGTTTTAGCATGCATACTCTCAAATACTTTCACTTACGACTCCTTGGGTATTAACCTGGCCAGTGACGGCGCACACACAATAGTCTTTTCGAGGTTTGCGCATTACAAATAAATCTAAATGCAAAAAGCTTGTTCTTCATTAAAATAAAATGAACCAACAAGTTCAGTTGTTTGGAAGATGTATGTAGTCTACATTAGTAAGATGATCTCACATTAGCAAAAACGTTTTAAAATGTGCATGTAATTAAAAACAAAACACAAGGGGGCTGCAAAAAAGAATGTCATTCATTGTCTGGAAAATAACTTGCTTCATTACTAAAATAAACCATAATGTAGGAGGATATCAGTGTTCCAATTTAAAGGTGGGGTAGGTAAGTTTGAGAAACCGGCTCGAGATACACTTGTTGTTATATTCCATGGAATGCTCTTAACTTCCCGATAGCAATGAATACCTTAAGTGCTTTGACAAAAAATCCATACAAAAATGTCATCTGTGGAAGCCGTAGTACTGTAAAAAGCACGACCAATCATTTTAGCCGGCCTGGCTAAAATAACTGGATGGCCTACCTGCCTGTCAGCCTTCCATCTGTGCACAAACTTATCTCGTGCCCTCATTGGTCATGTGCGCATTTGTGTGTGTTGGAGAAGGGGCTCTGTAAGGAAGTGGCAGATTTTTTCCGGCTGTGTATTTTCAAATACTAGCGCACTCGAGCTGGTTTCTCCAAAATTACCTACCCCACCTTTAATGGGTATTGTGCTTTTTTGTTTAATGTTTACCATTATCTGCTTGGGTTTAACAAAGAATTTGATACAGTACAACAGCTAACATTTTTATCGAACCAAATCCAAACAGGTTAAAAGTTATACTTAAAGCAGTACAAATGTTCTTTAATGGTAATGTGGAAATCCTCTTCTAGGTTTGTATTCTTGTGCAGACTTTTTATGTGCTCTCGTGGTCATTCTTGGCAATCTCCCAGAGATGGACACTGACAACTTAAACAGCAGACATGAACAGCAACATGCATGGCCTTCAAAGCTACGATGCCCCGGTGTAAAGCCAACCCCAGGGGGATAATATCATCAAAGGAATCAAATCTACAAACAGATTACTCCACAAGATGTTATTTTTGGTGGATCAGAGGGGGACTTTCATCTCCATATTTGAATAATGCAATCTTGCAATGGCTAGTGGGTATTGGAGGGAGGCCATTTGAAATCTAAACATATGGGTGCTCTATTGATTGTGAGTGAAAGAGATATAAACAACACTCTTTGTTACAAATACAAGGAAATACTCCAATATGGACCTTTAAAGCTACGGTGTTAGTTTTGAAATAAAGGCTTTGTGCTAATGCATTGCTCTCCACTGTTGTGATTCATTGCCTTGGCTGTGGGCCTCCGTTTAGAGACAAACTGCAGATGAGAGACTAGGTCAGAGCCTTGGCCTCTATTTCGCAGAGGTCCCCTGAGGCGTGGGAGTGCAGACAGAAGGTCAGGACACCTGTCTGCAGAACAGAACTATGTGCTGTCCTTCAGGCCCACCCCACGTGACATTACCCACCTAGAGGATAGAGGGGGGTTTTTACTCTAAAAAGAAGAGGATGGTATTTTCGCACAGAGGCTAAAATGATGTTAGGTCACCAGTTTCAATAGACTTGACCAGCGGGGGTAAAATAATGGTAGTGGTGTAAAAAAAGATTGCCTGTGGAGCCCCCAATGTGCGGTGATTTTACGTACACTATAACAACGTTTCTGCTGGTTTCAACAAGGGTAACTATAAGACTTTAAAAGACTATAAGGAATGCAAATTAAGACCTATTTCATGCCGAAACTGGCAAAAAGTACCAAGGATGTAAAGGACAATCTGCGTTCCAGAATTACTTTCAAAGTAAATGAACGATCTGGGCGCATGCTTGGAAACAGCTTGCCTCTGTCTTCAATGCTTTTTTTTTGACTGATTATATTATTTGTTTTCATATGAACACTCTAAGAAAGCCATTTTTGGGGGGAATTGTTTCCAAGAAACGCATAAAGTGATTGAGATTCCTACAACTTTTATCATAATCCAATCAAATTCTTAGAGCTGTCAAAATCCTATTTAAGGCTTACATTTTACACTTTTACTATAAAGGCATTTTTAGGACCTGAGCAAACCCCATTCCAGGCATGTTTGCTTGCTCTTCTCCCTCATCTTTCACACACACATTGAAACCGCACTAGGCAACAATGCTATCTATAAAAGAGCGAAAAGAGCAGAGCAGCTGCCACGGCGCATGTCTGTTGTAACTGGTTGCATTCAGGCTTCACACCATGCTGGGATAAAACCCTCTGTTTAGAGGCATCTGGTCGGAGACCTAGAGTAAAAGAGTCTTACAGTCTGTTCAACTGCACAGCCTGCAGGGAGGTGGAGGGTGAGAGAAGTTGGATGTGTGCACCTGTATGTGCATGAGTGTATGGGCAGCCAGAAAGAAGAAGGAGCCTCTGCCAGCTTCCGAACGAGGCACAAACTGCAGAGGGTAAATGTTCTGTCTAAGTACACACACACACACACACACACACACACACACACACACACACACACACACACACACACACACACACACACACACACACACACACACACACACACACATCT